CAGATAGGTTTGCCAGATGGTTTAACTAAAAATACCAAACACCACCCCTCCTTTCACCCCTAAAAAGGCCACTGGGGACAAAATTCTGTTGAGAAAAAAAAGGGGGGGAGACCAAAGTTGTTGAGCAAAGAAAAAAAAAGACCCCAAGAGTTGTTAAGCAAAAAATTTAAAAAAACAACAGCATGCCCCTTTAAGAAACGCTTTTAAGGCTTTTGGATTCTAACAGGCTGCTGGCAACCATCCGCCATCTTGTCTCCCTGCTCTGGGCCAGACAGCTCCCCTGCAGAACTAGGTAAGCACCTGGGATTTTCACCTCCTGGATGGGAAAAAAAATCAGAAAATACTGGACATTTTAAGTGTCTAGTATTTTCTGAATGTTTTTACCGGACAGGAGGCAAAAATACCGGACTGTCTGGATCAATACCAGACACCTGGCAACCCTACTTTCAGGATGGTCTTTTGCTCCATCCAAAAAATGATATGATAGATTGTCAATGACAAGAACACTAGCTGGAGGTGTTAGGTACCTAACTAGTACACAAAAGCATAAGAATCTATCTATTAACTTTGATTTTTATCTGCTTAGGTTTAAGTACCCATTCTCCAGATATTTAATGATGCTGTCTCCCACCCCCTCCCTTTTTTTCTCTCCTCCTTCCCCTCTCCTATTTATTTCGAGTTTTCATATCCTCAATGCATAACTCCAGTCATCTGAAGAAGTGGGCTGTGCCCACAAAAGCTCATGATACCATCTACATGTTTCGTTAGTCTATAAAGTGCTACCAGACCATTTGTTTTTTTCTGTAACAGACTAACTCAGCTACCTCCTGAAGCTCCTGCAGCAGTAGAGATATCTGTAATATAGGTGATCCTTATTAATTCAACATTAGAAGCTATAGAGAAAGAAGGCATGCCAGTAGATATAAATACAGGGTAAAGTGGAGCTACACAAAGCATGGATCATGGGACAAATCCAACCAACCAATCTATTCCAGTAACTGCAGAGAGATGTCAGTGTAATCAATTGTAGGCTTTTATTGTGAATGAATTCACAACTTCTAATCTGTTCTGCAGAAGATATACCCACAAGCGATTACAGTGCATATTTATATATTGTTAAAACATTTTAGCTAGAATTATGAACACATTAAGCACCTAAAAACATAGATAGCCACTAAAATAAAATTGTGTTTTACAGTAACACAGCACTTATGGATCCAAATTTCACTTCAGCAATAGTCACTGGGTAGTTAGAGGAGAGTAAGTGAGTTTCGTTAAATATTGCTGATGAGAGATTTCTCAAACTTGTATAAGTTTCACTGTCTCTACTGAGATGCTCCTCTTTTTAAAACCAATGTTATCTGTGTTGTATTCCTCTTCAGGGACTAAGACCTGATCTTAGGCTTTGGGCCAGCCTCATGTGTTGAAAGGAAACATCCCACAAACTTGTGTCCTCTGCATTTGGGCCAGCCACAGCTCTGCCCTCACCCCTCTGAATGTCCTCCAGCTGTGATCACTGTGCAGTGAGCAGGGGTGGACTGGCAATCAAAATAGGCCCGGAAAATTGGTTGAGAACGGCCCACTTTTTCCCATCAAAGAATTTTTTTTAAATTTACTCTTTGACCCCCATTAACCACACCCTGACCCCCATTTGCCACACCCCCTAACTCTCATTAGCCAGACCTCCGCAGGTAACACTCTCGGGGCAAGATGGATACATGACCAGAAGTAAAAGGTGTCATGTGACCCCTCTAAAGACTCACGATCCTCCTACCAATAGGGATTAGTTTGTCCCCCACCAACCCCCCCCATGCAACTATCCTGCAATTGCATTAACCCAATGTGTGTGACATTAACTTGGGGGGCGGAGAGGCTGGGAGAAGTGTTCCCTCTAAGAGTTTCCTCCCACGAGCAGAATGAATTTTGTGTTGTGCACCAGTACTGAGTTCATGTGGCTTCTTTGGATGTGCCACTGTGGCACCCAAGTTATTAATAAATATCTTATAAACCTCTACCTTTTCCCTCTGCTGCCATGTCTCCTCCCCTTGCTCCATCAGCTCCCCTGCGGAGAGGCTGGGAGAAGTGTTCCCTCTAAGAGTTTCCTCCCACGAGCAGAATGAATTTTGTGTTGTGCACCAGTACTGAGTTCATGTGGCTTCTTTGGATGTGCCACTGTGGCACCCAAGTTATTAATAAATATCTTATAAACCTCTACCTTTTCCCTCTGCTGCCATGTCTCCTCCCCTTGCTCCATCAGCTCCCCTGGTGCCTGCTGCCCCCCAACCCCTCACCCTCCTCTGCTCTCCTGACTTGGACTCCTGCCCTTCTCACTGCCCTCAGCCCTCCTGCACTGCAACCTGCCCTCCTCCACCAGCCCTTCTCTGCCCCCTGTGCCCACTCCTCCAGTAGCCCCACTCTGATCATGTGAGCTACCCCT